TCATATATATGATGAGTCGGTGAAACTCCGACGAAACAGTTTGTCACAGCCCCTCGTTTGTGGTCCTCTTCTCCCTCTTGTCCCTCTCTGCCTACGGTTTACCGGGGGCAGCTATAGAACTGCCCGGTAAACCGTAGGCAGAGAGGGAGAAGAGGACAACAACCGAGGGGCTGTGACAAACATGTAATATATATATACATATTATATAAATATATGTATACATATAGGGCAGTTCTATTTGACGATATATACATATATATATCGTCATATATCGTCACAAACAGATTTGTATATATTATATTGGGACAGATTTTCGAGTCGGCTGCAGCTCCGAAAAGCGGACGCTCCAGCTTTTAAATAAAAAATACTCCTTTAAAAATTAAAAAAAGGAATAAATGAAAGATCTCGTGCAGCAGAAAAAAAAAAAAAAAAGCGGAAGCGGAAAGGACATTCCCCACCGTTCTGCCACAATGTACCCGGACGACCTCACGTCCACGTACAAATCATGTACATAACCGTTTGGACGTCCAGGTACATTTCCGGAAGAGGTGGCGGCGGTGTCGTTTCCAAATTTTCCGGGACGATAGACGGCGTATCTCACCCTTAATTTAAAATTTTAATAAAATTAAAATTAAAATTAAATAAATTTCAATTCCTCTCCCATTTCTCGATGTACGCGAAGAAACATAAAAAATCCTCTCCCATTTCCAACAACGACATTCACCAGCTCAGAAATGAACTCATTAAAAAAAGACATAACGATAATAGAAATGCATAAATTAATAATAGCCGATAAAATAACAAGAACAACAACTGACTCATCACAATCCGAATGCTACACACACACCAATGGACCTAGCTCAGCTGGTACACGAATGAACTGCTGAAATACAGACCTGCGTTCAAATCCAAATGGAACTCTACATATGAAATTCTTGAATTACCTGGGACCAACCAGTTCGACCATGATATCTCAAGGCGGTCGCTCTTAAAAAATAATAATAATGAAAAATAAAAATAAATTAAAAAAATGCTACACACACGCAGACACAGACCTCCACTGCACAAACGAAGACGTTCGATGCCCTCGTGGGCGCGCACATACACACATTGTCAAGCCGACAATCACTCCATCCAGTCCGTAAATTGCCCGACATACAACCACAATAACTATCGCCTCTTTTGCCCACACACACACACACACATACACACACACACA